CGAATCGATGAGCACACTGGCAGTGGGATCCTGATGAGCAGCAGCACAGCCCAGTTCCAGGCGGAGCGTGTAGGAGACACCCTGCTCCAGACAGATGGGCTGGGACAGCACCACATACCTGGATGGGGGCAAAACAGAGCAAGGGCAGCCATGTGCCTCCAGTGAGCCCCAGCACACCCCAACCCTACTGAGGTGTTTACCTGGCACCAGAGGGGAGGCTGGTGGAGAGCTGGTCATCAGCAGGGATGGTGTTTCCACAACGGCTGCTGGCGGAGACAGGGCTGGGGCGTAGCACCTTCAGCCTCACCTCCTGCCAGGCCTCTGGGTGCTGACAGCCAAGAAGGGGCAGTGTCAAAAAGCCTCACCATCTGGAACTCCCCACCACTACCTCCCAATCTGGCAATATATCACACTGCTGGCTTCACCATCTGGTGCTCACCTGTGGCTCATAGCGGATGACCACATCGTACTCGGTGGAGAAGGGCACATCACTCACATGGAACTCTACCCAGCCGCCTTCCAACATGCGGGCAAAGCCTATTCCTGTCCAGGAAGCTGGACGGTCTGGGGGCGGCTCACGCTCCACCACTGAGCCCTGGTGCAAGCAGGTGTTGTGAGATGGGACCCTGAAAATCACCTTGGCCAGCAGGCACTGCTCTGCCCTGAGCAGGGAGGCAGACCACTGCCTGCTGGTCTGGGCACCCTGCAAAGGGGAGCCCACTGTGCTGCTCTGCCTGATGTCCTCCCCAGGGACACCTGCATTCCTTACCTGATGCAGCCGTGCATCCTCTGCCTCATAGGTGTAATGATCCAGGTTGATGCGGTAGAAACCGGTCTCCACCTGTTCACACTGTCGTCCTATCACATGGCTGCGGCACTGGCACTGCCCTGTCCCCATGGCACACCTGGTACCCCAGCAGCACCATCAGCCCTGATGCCAGGAGGGGTGCCCCTTGCCCTCTGCATCCCCACAAAGACTCACAGGTTGTTGCGGGCACCTCCCACATCGCAGTCACAGGGCCGGCAGCCCGGGAGGTCGTGGCTCAGTCCCCAGTGCTCGGGCTGCAGGGGGTCACAGGGTGTTAAAGAGCAGCTGTCAATGTACTATAGTGCTGAGCACTGTGCAGGGGCCGTGGCACAGCCCCACTCACCAGGCACTGGCTGCAGCTGCGCCCAGTCACCAGCCGCTTGCAGAAGCACTCCCCACTGACAGGGTCACACCGGCTGCCATCAGCCACTGTGCCACGGGGGTCACATTGGCACCCTGCATGGAGAGCCAGCAGTTTCCAGCAATGCCAAACCACGTGCCCGATCCCAACAGGTGCCACCCTGGTACCTACTCCGGCAGCCTTGCGGGTTGTCGGCACTGAGGCCGAAGAAGCCGGGTTTGCAGCGGTCACAGCGGGGACCAGCCACGTGCTCCTTGCAGCGGCACTGCCCCGCAATCAGGCCCCTGGCTGGGTCATCAGCACCGTCACACAGCCCACCATCCAGAGAACCCTCAGGGTCACAGTCGCAGGCTGGGGAGACAGGCAGGGTGAGCACTGTGACCACCAAAGCACCCCCCTGCACAGCCTGTCCCACACTGACCTCGGCACACTGCAGGGTCCCGCAGGTCCTTGGTGGGGTCCTTGTAGTAGAAGGGCTTGCAGAGGTGACAGCGACGGCCCATGGTGTTGTGCTGGCAGCCATCACACACACCCCCACTGGTGTTCCCCGTGGCCAGGAACACAGCCATGTCAAAGTGGCACCGCCGTGAGTGCTCGTTGCAGTCACAGCCTGCAGGGACATCACCGCTGCATGGCATGTGGCACCACAGCCCACACCTGGTAGGCAGCACCCCAAGTGCCAAACCTCCCCTGCCTGGGCTCTCCTTGCTGACATGCAGCACCACAATCCCAAACCTCCCCAAAGTACAGCCCTAGCACCCTAGACCCCCTAAGCCAGTCTGCATGATGCCAGTCACCACCAAACCACATCCCACTGCGCAACACCCCAAAACCCCTGGCGCAGCACAGCCTGGCAGCTCTGGCACTGGGATCACTGTGCCAGGATCTGGTGCCAGCAGGGCACTCACGGCGACAGGCGTTGGTGCTGGAGCCCTCGGCCGGGCGCCAGGGCAGGTCTTGGTAGAAATCCTCGCAGCGCTCGCAGTTCAGCCCCTGCGTGTGGTGTTTGCAGACACAGCGCCCGTGCACCTGCCAGGATGCCACGGTGAGGGGCTGTGGTCCTAGGTGGCACAGCTACCCAGCTCCAGCAGGGCACACAGGCCTGGCTTGCCCTACCATGCCATCGGTGGTGGCAGGGGCCCCGCTGAGCGGGGCGCACTCAGAGGCGTGCCCGTAGCAGAAGCAGTTCCCGCGCATCACCAGCTCGTAGAGCGCGTAGTAGTACTTCTCCCGGATCTCCCGCCGTGAGTCCAGCAGGTTGTCCCCCAACGTGTGCAGCTTGGTGAGGTTCACACGCAGGTTGGTGACACGCAGCAGGTCTAGGGCAGGGAGAGACCCCTGTTGGCACAGGGTGGCTGGGCACGTTTATGCACAGCTCACCCCTGCCGGGCACAGCTGGTTTGGGCTGTGCATGGCAGAGGAGGCTGTAGGTGGTTCAGACGAGCTGGGCATGGCTGGGGTGGGCTGTGCTTGGCATGGGGTGTCCATGCAGGGCTGCACAATATCAGGCTGGTCTTTTATGGTTTTCTGTATCACACAGTGTTGGCCCAGGCCTATGCATGGTTTGGCTCACAGGCACGTGGTTGCATGTGGCCAGGCTGGGCAGCACGTAGCTGTGGGGGGTTCAGCTCCCACACACGTAGCTGTGCACAGTCTGGCTGTGCGTGGGCAGGGCTCTGCATTCCCACAGCAGAGGCAGGCTGGGACCCCACCAGTGCAGAACAGCACCCTTGGCACAGCACCTTTACATGTCTCAGGACACTCACCATTGGGGGCCGTTCCCAGGAGATGGCTATGCCTGGTGTGGTGGGTGCAGCCTGGGGCCTTGGGAACACAGGACAGCTTCCCCAGAACTGCAGTTTCCCAGAAGCCCTGCCCTGCCCTGTAGATTCCACCCCTCCTGCTCCCAGTCTAAATTTAGCCTTGGGTGGGTGATTAACCCACTGTGTCCCATGCCCAGCCCAACTCCCCATCTCGAACCACAGCTGGTGTTGGGTTCAGCCATAGCACAGCCATCCTCCTCCATTTAACCCAACGCAGCCTGATCTTCAGCTGCTCTCACAAGGCAGGGTGCAGAGGGGCCCAAGACCCCACAGGCTGGATCAGGTCCTGATCCCTGTGTAGGGCCCAGAGCAGGGAGAGAGCAGCCAAAATAGCTACACCCAAAATAGAGCAGCCAAGCAGGAGCCCAGATGGCTGGCAACTCACTTTGGATGTCAGGGCTGTAGGGGTCCCGGATGGGAATGGCAGGGTCCAGCACCCGGTAGATGACCTGGAAGGGACAGCAAGGTGATGAGAGCAGTGCAGGGAATCCCCCGACTCTCCTGGGACACTACGAGGGCCTCACCTCCCCCTCAGTGGAGGGCTCGATGTCAGAGTAGCGGGACTCGCAGACGACATCATCGATGCGGCGTGGGGGCCCGTGGGGGACGTGGGGAAAAGAAGCAGCGCAGTCGTAGGCAAAGTAGCGATACACCTTCCAGGTGTGCCCAAAGTCAGCTGAGCGCTCCACCAGCATGGCCGCGGGCCGGAACGTCTGCGAGACATCCAGGTGGGACAGGGGATAGCCCCACAGTCCCTGTGGGCATGATCAATCCTGTCCTGTCTCAGCCTGGATACCTACACGCTCGGACCCACCTTGAAGGTCATGATGAGATGGGTGAAGTGGAACTCAGCCTCCAGGTCCAGCTGGATGCTCACATGCTCCACACCTGGGGGTGAAAAGTGTGACAAATGGAAGCACCCACTCACAGGTCCCGGGGGCTCGTCCCCCCCACCCGGCAGTGGTCCAGGGGCGCGGCCACGGCCGCAGGCTGAGTCACACTTCCTCAGTGTGGGAGGAAGGGAAGGAGAGCCCCCCGGGACAGGACAGGATGCTCCACCACCCCCACCCACTACTCACCGTTCTCTGACTGCCACCAGGCTTTCTTGGGGCGGGGGGCAAAGCTGGTGACGACATTCTGGATGCGGTGGCTGTTGGTGTTGGTGCGGGCATCGTAGGGCCGCCGGGAGTCGCAGATGAAGCACTTTTTCTCCTCCTGCGAGTTGGAAGGCTCAATGATGCGTGTCCCCAGCCGTGTCCCGTGCCCCTCATCCTTGTCTTGTCCCCCCAGGTCCCGTCCCACTCACCTGGAGGTGGCTGACGATGCAGTAGGGCTGGGGCCGGCGCAGCCCGCAGGTGGAGGTGGCACTTAGGCGGGCTGCTCGTCCGACCAGCAGGTCCCCGGTGGCCGGGTAGCAGCTGCCGCGGGCACAGCCCTGGGGGGAATCGGGGGCCAGGGCCACCCCCAGCCCTGCGGAGCGGCGGGCGGCTGAGGGCGCTGCGGGGCCGGGGGGGCCGGGGCCGGGTTTCCCCCCGCCGCGCCCGGGGCCCCTTCCGTGACCGCCCGGAAACGGGACGGCGGGGCCGGGCCGGACCCTGGTGCCCACCGGCCCCGCCGTGGCGCGGGGCGCGGACTCACCGGCCAGCAGCGGCAGCAGCAGGAGGGCGGCGGGGCTCCGCTTCGCCGGGCTCCGCATCGCGGGGCGCGACGGGGCCAGACGGGACGGAAAGGGGCGCAAAGGGCGCGCAAAGGGGGCGCTCGGCAGGTGCCCGCCGGTCCCGTCCCGTCCCGTCCCGACTCACCGGTTCCCCTTCTCGTTCCCGTTCCCAGTCCCTTCCCCGTCCCCTTCCCGGTCCCTCCCGGCCCCTCCGAACTGGCGGCAGGCGCAGCTCTCGGGGCTGCGCGGAAAGCGCGGGGCGGATCCCGGCTGGAGCGGGGGAGCGGGCCGGCCGGGAGAGGCGGGAGGAGGCAGGAGAAGGCTGGACAGAAGACATCGGACACAGGCACACACAGTTTAGGGCTTTATTTGCAGGCGCGCCCGCACTAAAGACACCTGCAGAGTGGACGGGACTCCCGGGCTCGGGGACCTGCGGGGCGGCAGGGCAGGACCGGCCCCCGGTCCCGCCAGTGGTCCCTAGCAGGTGGCGTAAGCGTTGGCCCTCTCCTGGATCTCCTGCAACAGCCCGGTGACCTGCTCCTCCAAAGCCTGCAGTCGTGTCACCTTTGCCGCCATCATCCGTTCATTGGCCCCAAAGCGCTGCTCCAGGTCTGCGGAACATGCAACATGGTCACAGTACAGCCTCCCACCATGTCCTCTGTCACCATCGGGACACCCGGTGGGACAGGCCCAGGGGGACACGGGGAGATGTATTATGGGGAGGTGACAGGAAATGTACCCCACCATGTGCTCCCTCTCACCTTCCAGCTTCCTTTTGCTGTTGCTGGCCTTATCCAGGAGGTCTCGGGCTTCTGCCATCAGCTGCGACACACGCTGCAGGGCCCCACCAGACACCCTGTCCAGCGTGCCCACCCGGTTCTTCAGCACCACATAACGCTGTGTTACCTGGGCCAGGTCCTGGCGGCACAAGGGCATGGTGAGGCTGAGCACCTGCAGCACCCAGTACTTGCTTGGTGGCATGCATAACCAGGCAGGGATGGAGCTCACCTGGCTAAGTGTCCCCGAGGTGGTGGTGGCACGCTGTGCCGCATCCTTGGCTTGCTGGGCCATGTGGTGAGCACCCCGGCCGTGCTCCTGCAGGCTGGTGATGCGCTGTGCCAGCTCCTGCAGCCGCCTCTGCACCTGCGACTCCTTCCTGTCCAGCACCTGCAGCCTGCGCTCCGCCTGGCAGGGATGGACACCAGCTGCAGCAGGCACAGCAACCACCATGCCTATGGTGCCAGCCCCACTGCCCTGGTAACTGCCCAATGCCAGCCACATTTCCCCAGTGCCAGCCTCCCTACCCATAATGTGCCCAAGCCATGTCTTGCTCTGCACAGCACTGATCCCATTACTCCCAGTGGTACCAGCTCCACTCCCCGAGCCCATGCTCCTCACCTTCCTGGCTCTCTTCTCAGCCACCTGGATGGCATCCCTGGCGCTCTGCAGGGTGCTCCCTGCTGTAATCGCCTGTGTCCGTGCCACCTCCAGTGCCTGCTGTGTCCCCGCCAGCTCATCCCTTATGCCTTCTGCTCGCTCCCTGCAGCAGCACAGGCATCTCCAGGCCCTGCCGCTGCAGGGGGACTGACCTATCCCCTGCCTGCCCCAGCATGGCCCCACCACTTGCCTGGCCTCCTGTCCCTGTGCCAGCAGATCCCGTGCCACAGCCAGCCCCTCTGCTGTGCTGTTGAGAACTGCGTCCACCCCCTCTAGCTGGCTGATGCTCTCCTGCATCTCCCACAGCAGCTCCTGGATCTGTCCAGGGCTGCTGGGCAGGGAGATGTTCAGCACCTGCCGGGCCACCAGCTCGATGCTGCCTGGGTCAGCTCCCTCCTCTGCGGGGACAGGGGAGCAGGGTGGGCTCAGGGTGGGCTCGCTGAGTCCTGCCATGCCCATGTGCCCACCCAGTGCTGTCACTACCTGCCAGGAAGGCCTTGATTCGGCGGATGAAGTCCCGCAGCTGGGCTGTTGCCTTCTCTGCACGGCTGCGTGCGGCCTGAGAGTGCCCCAGGGCCTCCTCTGCCCTGCTGCGTGCCCCCCGTGCCAGCTCCTGCACCTCCTGCATCTGAGGGGCACCTGGCTGAGCAGGGGGCACAGGGCAGCCCCGGGAGGGGGCATTTGGGATGAGCAGGGAGTATGAGGGGATAAGATGTGAGCCTGCAAAGGAGCGTGCAAGGGGGGTGCAAGGGGAACAGAGGGTACAGCAGTGGCCCAAGGGGGCATGCACACAAGTGGCACAAGGGGCATCTCTGAATGGGCATAAGAGACACATACAGAGCTAACATGCTTGGGGACATGGAAAGGGAAAAAACAGGACATAGAAGGGGGCCATGCAAAGTGGCATGGAAAGGGCACCAACAGGATATGCAAAATGGACACAAGGGGACCCCAGAAAGTGCCATGGAGCAACCACCCCTACCTTCTGTGCCACAACATCCAGCTGCCCTAATGCCACCTCCAGCTGCTGAGAGGCATTATGAGCAGTGCTCAGGGCTCGAGCTGAGACAGGCAATGCCCCTGCACACCCAGTACCACCACAGTGCCTTGTCCCTGCACTGTCTCGGCACAAGGCTCCTCCGCAAGACGCATGCTCGCAGCTCCGGTCTCCAGGCGCACCACAAATCTGTGATGGTGGAAATGGCAGCTCATTTCCTGGACGGTGATGCCCACGCTGCTTCTGCCAGTCCTGCTCTCACCTTCTCGTTGATCCTGGCAATGCTGAGTCCCATCACCCGTTTTTGTGTCTCCCGCAAGGATTTCCGGGCTGCGGCTGTGCCACGGCGGAAGATATCGCCCCGCTGCTGCAGCGCCCGCTCGGTCGTCCGCTGCGTCACCTGCGCCCTCCTGAGCTCTCCAGCCGTGCCATTGACCATCATCTCCGCCTGCCGCGAGGCCTCCGCCGATGCCAGGATGCTGCGGTAAGACTCTGCGGGTGCGGGTGTTAGGCTTTGGCCAGGATGGCTGCCACCAAACCCAAACCTTGCTGGCTGCTCTTACCGCTGAATCCAGCTGCCGCTACAGTGCCGAGGAGGCTCTGAAGGTGGGAGGTGGTTCGGTTGAGACCTCCCAGCTCACGGCTCAGCTCAGCTAGCCGGCCATGGTGCTGCATATCCGCCTGTGCCAGCTGATCTAGATGTTGCTCCAGCTCTTGGAGGTGCTTCCCAAAATTGTCCAGCTCCATCCTTTGGGTAGGGAGGATGGCTTCAAACTTTCAGGTGGGGACAAGAGGGAGGTCCCTCCACCCTAGCCCTACATGCACACTTGCCTGGTGCCACCCAGCTGCCTGGGCAGTCCATCGAGGAGGGGACTACCAGGGCTGTGCCCCTCTCCCAGCAGCTGTTCCACGTGCCCCAGAGCCTCCTCCAGCTCCCGCAGGCGACGGGGGCTGAGTGGGAGTGCAGAGCCCCCCTCCCTCAGCGCCTGCACCTGTGCCCCAAGGCGCTGCAGTCCTTCCCGCAGGCTGCCCACGGCCAGGTCCCAGCGCCCAAAGCAAGGGTGGCAGGGTGAGCACTGGGGGAAGGGCTCCTGGTAGCCCCGCTGGCAGCGGTCACAGCGCAGCCCCCCGAATCCTGGCCGGCAGCGGCACTGCCCGTTGTCCTGCTCACACTGCAGGCTCTCAGCACCCAGCGGCTCACACTCACAGGCTGCAGAGACAGTTGGAGGTGTGTCCCAGCCTTCCCATGGAGCCCCATGCCCCCAGACTGCCACCATGTCTCAGCATCCCACCATATTCCCCTGTGTCTCCAGAATCCAGTCTATCCCCAGCATCTTCTATTGTCCCCACAGTTCCACCAAGTACTGGGTCCCCAAAGTCCTGCATGTCCCCAGAGACATACCATGTCCTCAGTGTTCCACCATGTCCCCAGCATCCCACTGTTCCCCAAGGTCCATCATGCCCACAATGTCCTAGCATGTTCCCAAGATCTCCTGAGTCCCTTGTGTCCCCAGTGTCCCACTGTCTCCTTAGTGTCCCATGTTCAGAGTCTCCCACCATGTCCCATTTCCCTAGAGTCTCACTATGCACCCAGAGTCCCCTCATATCCCCCATCCCCAGAGCCCCTGCTCCCCCAGTCCCTGGGGTGTGCTCCCACCTCGGCACTCCTGCTCAGGGTCTCCCCAGTGGTGCTCCTGGCACTGGGAACAGACACGACCCCCGAAGCCAGGCCGGCACTGGCACTGCCCTGTCACCTGCAGTGACAGCGCCATGCTCACTGTGCAGCTCACTGGGCCCCAGGAGGGCAGTGCAGCTGTAGCAGGGTGCCAGGGGACTCACAGTGTCACAGGCAGGGTGCAGGGCATGTGTGGGGTGGCAGCCACAGGGCTCACAGCCCCTTGGCCCCCCCAGCCTCCAGAAGTGGGGTGCGCAGCGATCACAGCTCTTGCCCACGACATTGGGCCGGCAGGCACAGGCTCCTGTGCCACGGTCACAGTCACAGGTGCCATCGGTGCAGTGGGAGGCCAGTGTGCCCCGTGGGTCACAGCCACAGCCTGCAGGAGGGTGGATGGCCACATGGGGCTCAGCCCATACCCACTGCCCAGGCAGTGTGCTGCTGAACCCAGCACCCCAAATCTGCCTGACCCCAGTGTCCCCCAGTCTGCCAGGCCTCAAACCCCTGCACAGCCCCACCAACCCCGATCCCTGTCCCCTGCCCAGCCCCAACCCAGGCACAGCCCCACACCCCTTCTAACAGCCTCAAACCTCTCCTGGCCCTGAACCCTAGCCCTGCAACACCCCAAAATTCTCCCTGACCCAACCCCAATCACCCACACCCAACCACAGCCCCACACCTCATCCCTGTGTTGAGCCGTTGCATCATTTCAACCCCCCATTCCAAACCCCTGTGCATCTGCAGCCCCGCAGCCCTGCAGCCCCGCATCCCCACAGCCCTGCAGCCCCACCAGCCCCGCATCCCCGCAGCCCCGCAGCCCCGCAGCCCCACATCCCCGCAGCCCTGCAGCCCCGCAGCCCCACAGCCCCGCATCCCCGCAGCCCCACATCCCCTGCATCCCCGCAGCCCCTGCAGCCCCGCAGCCCCTGCAGCCCCGCAGCCCTGCTCACGCCGGCAGCTGCGCTGCAGGGCATTGCCGTAGTAGCCCGGCTGGCAGTGGGCACAGCGGGGCCCAGCTGTGTGGTACAGGCAGCGCAGGCACTGTCCCGTGCGGGGGTCGCAGCCCTCTGGGTCGCTGGTGTCGATGTTGTTGTTGCACTGGCAGGGCCGGCACTCCCCCCCATCCATCTCCGGAGCCCCAAAGTAACCAGGGGAGCAGCGGTCGCAGCGGGGCCCTGCAGAGAGGGGGCTGTAGGTGCTGGGGTCCCGCAGCCCCAGGCAGGGGGTCCCTGCTGGCCCGTGCCCGCTCTGGCCCTCACCCGCGTATCCAGGGGCACAGAGGCAGACGATGTGGTGTGTCTCATCGTCCGCATGGCAGGCGCTTCCATGGTAATGCCGTGTACCAGGGTAGCCGGGGCAGGGGCAGGGCCGGCACTGCTGCCCCGAGCCCAGCACAGGGTTCCCATAGTAACCATCCTGGCACCTGAAAGGACGAGAGGGGACCCAGTGGGTCCCTCCAATCCATCATATACCATCCCACCATCCCATCCTATTCCATCGTATCCCGTATCATCATATCTCACCCTATCCTAGCCAATTGTATCCATCCCATTCCATCTCAATCTCATCCATCCCATCCCATCCCATCCCATTCCATCTCAATCCCATCCCATCCCATCCCACACCATGCAATCCCATTCTATTCTACCCCATCCCATCATATCTCTGCCAGCCCATCTCAACCCATACCACCATTCCAACATATCCCATATCATCATATCTTATCCTGTCCTACTCCATTGTATCAACCCCATTCTATGCCACACCACCCCACACCACCCCCCCCCACACCACACACCACACCACTCCACGGCCTCCTCTGGGAGCTGGCCCACCTCTCACAGTGCCGGCCGCTCGTGTGGTCGCGGCAGTGCAGGCAGGTGCCTGTCCGGGGGTCGCACTCCTCGGCGTGCCCGTTGCACTGGCAGGGCCGGCAGGCAGGGAAGCCCCAGTGGCCGGGCTGGCACTGGTCACACTGCCGGCCCACGGTGCCGGGCTGGCACCGGCACTGCCCGCTCACCTTGTCACATAGCTGGGACACCGAGCCCTCTGGGGAGCAGGTGCAGGCTGCAGGGCAGCACAGCTCAGGTCAGGCACATGGGTGCAGGGACACAGGGGTGGACAGACAGACAGAGAGGCAGGCAGGGGACCAGCACCCAGAACATGCTCACTCCATGGGCTGTGGCACAGATGGGCTTATGTGGACACACAGGTCCACAAGACAGACAGATGAGAGAGTGCAGGACAGCACAATGCTTACAGGGGGCTCATGTGGATGGATGGATTGATGGATGGATGGATGGATGGATGGATGGATGGATGGATGGATGGATGGATGGATGGATACCTGTGACTGAACCCATGGGCTGCAGGACAGCAGGGCTGAGATGGACACATGCACAGACAGATGGACAGACAAGTGAACAGGGCAGTGAAGAGGGCGCTGATGGCTGGACAGACAGACAGGAGAGACAGCAATTCCTGGCAGATGAAGATCCCAGTACTCACGGCTGCATCCCAGGGGCCCAAAGCCAAAGCTGCCTGGGGCACAGTGGTCGCAGCGTCGGCCGATGACGTGGGGCTTGCACTCACACTGCCCGCCCTGCACCTGGCACTCGCTGCTGCGGGAGCCCTGTGGGTCGCACTGGCAGGCTGTGGGAGCAGGACCAGCATGGGGCCAGGGCTGCCTTTTCTGCACTTGCCCACACCTGCCCACACCTGCCCACACCCTGCCACTGCTCTCCTGCCCACCATTCCATGGGCATGGGCATATCCTGACCCACTGCCCCGGCAGGGCTCCAGCCCTGCCCACTCGTGGATCCCATCCTGCAGGCTCCCCACTCACGCAGTGCCCCGCCGTGCATCAGGGCTGAGACGCTGCAGACCAGGCGGGCACAGGCCTCGGCCAGGGGGTGAGGGGGAGCCATGCGAAACACCTCCAGGCACTGGTACCGCTCCAGCTCCTCCTGGCGCGCTGCTGCCTCTGCCCCATGGAACCCTGGCAACTCTGACACCCGTGGCAGGAGCACCAGCTGGGGGAAGGGAAGAGGAGATGGGGCGGGGGGGGCATAGCCAGCCTCCACTGTGGCACCTACCACTAGGCTGGATCCATGTGCTCCAGGACAGTCCCAATGATGCTGGGGTCAATTACCCCAGCTCCATCAACAGCCATGGACATCCCCAACCCCATTGATATTCCCATAAAAAGTGCCATCCCCAGAAGCTTCCTTATTCCCTTCCACGCTGACATCTCTATGCCAACCCCAACTCTATCTAAATCCCCAGTCTCATTGATATTCCCTTCTATTCCCTTCCCCTTCAACATCTACTTCCCCATTCCCATCCCCATCCCATCCCCATCCTCATCTCATCCTCATCTCCATCCCACCCTATCTCATCCCATCTCATCCCCATCCTGACTCCAAGTACATCCCCAGAGGGGGGTCACTTCTCACTCCAGCCTCTGTCCCTGTCCCTGCCCATGATCCCACCCCTGCCAAGCCTCAGGCACAAGGGGCAGTGGGACTCCCCTCACCGAGTCAATGAGGATGAAGGCACCAGGGTGGCGCTGGGTGACACCAGCCCGCTGAAGCCGCATGGTCACCTCATAAGGGGTGCTGGGCTCGAAGCAGAAGGGCCGGGACAGCAGCACATACCTGTACAGAGTCAGGTGTTGCATGGGCACAGCAGGGCCATGGAGACAGCAAAAGGACAGCAGCAGCAGGACCCAACCACCTCCCTTGTTCCCATCCCCAACGCCCCCCAGCCCATCCCATTGCACCTCTGGCTGTGGGGCAGACTCTGGCGGTACATCTGCTCGGAGGGCAGCAGGTTCCCACAGCGAGGGCTGGTGGGCAGCACCCGGGAGCTGACACTGACCATGGCCTCCCAGTCCTCGGCTGACTGTGGTGACAGGCAAGGGCAGTGTCAGGGCTGAGCTGTGCCATACACGCCGTGGCCGTGGCTGTGGCCGTGCTCACCTCAGGCTCGTAGCGCAGCAGCAGCTCGTAGTCCATGGCGTAGGGCACGTTGTCCACGCGGAAGGTCAGGCCAGCCCCGTCCCGCACCCGGGCAAACCCCAAGCCTGTCCATGTCACCATGCGCCCGGCACTGTCCCGCACCACCTCCTCCACGTCCGGCTGGGCAGGGCACAGGCACAGTTTGGCCCTGGCTCTACCCCCAGCCACTTCTGCCCTGCAGTGCCTCACTGTGCCCTCCCCTACCACCTCACCTTGGGGGGCTGCTGGCGGCTGCGGCGCGAGGGGACAGGGGGCTGGGGAGCACGGAGGGGGCTGTGCTGATGCCGTGAGCGTCCCTTCCGCCCAACTGGCTCCCTGGTGTCGTACTCCAGGCAGTCCTGGGCCACCTCTACCCGAATGGCACCCTGCAGGGATGGGGTCAGGGGACGGTGGCCATGCACAGGGACAGTCATGCACGAGGATAGCCGTGTACAGGGCATGGTAACAGCCACATGCAGGACAGGGTGACAGCCATGCATAGAGCACAGCGGCAGCTATGCATGGAGCATGGTGAACAGTGACAGCCATGCACAAGTACAGTGACCCCCAAGGAGACTCACCGGGAGCTGAGGGTGGCTGTGGCCATGGCCGGTGGCCTGCTCGGCCTCATAGGTGTAGTAGTCAAGGGGGGCACAGAAGAAGCCGGGTTGTACCTGGTCACACTGCCGCCCCATGATGTGGGGACGGCAGGGACACGCCCCATCCTCCATGGAGCACCTGGGGGTGACCATCCTGTCCTTTCATCTGTCCTTCTGTCTGTGTCATCATCCCTCCCTACTTCCATCTCTGTCCCCATCCCTCCCTCCCCCATGTGTGACTCCCAGCCCTGTCCCCACTCTCTTCCCCACCCCTGCCCCACGGGTGCTGTGCTGGGCCCCACCGGTTGTTGTAGGCTCCCCCGAAGTCACAGGCACAGGGCCGGCAGCCCCCCAGGTCGTAGCTCAGACCCCAGAACTCGGGCTGCAGTGAGGAGGGGACATGTAGGGCATGTGTGGGGCCAACCCAGCCCTGGGGGTTGCCATGGGGTTGGGGACAGTCCCTCACAGGTTGGGGCACTCACCACACATTGGCTGCAGGAGCGCCCAGCCACGAAGCGTTTGCAGTAGCAGTCCCCACTGATGGGGTCACACGGGGAACTGCCTGCCACCGTACCCCGCGGGTCACACCTGCATGCTGCCCCCACACATGCACATGTGAGGGGGTGCCAGTGGGACTACAGCCCACATGCTTCGTGGCCCTCCTTCCCCATCCCATATCCATCCATCTTCATCCCTTCCATCCCCATCCTTCCATCACCATCCCTCTATCCATTCTCATACAACTATGCCATATCCCTCCGTCCTACATCCCCCTCTATCCCAGATCCTTCCACCCTCATCCCTCCATCACCATACCTCTACCTCCATCCCTCCACCCTCATCCATCCCGTCCCCATTCCTCCATCAACATCTCTTCATTCCCCATCCCTCAAATTTCATCCCTTTCTCTGTACCCCTCCATCATCCCCCCATCCCCATCCCCTCTCCCACGCCATCCCTGGCTCCCAGCTCACGCTGACAGCCCTGTGGGTCGCTGTGGCTGAGGCCATAGGCGCCGTGCCGGCAGCGGTCGCAGCGGGGACCGGCCACGTTCTCCTTGCAGCGGCACTGGCCCGCAATCATGCCCAGCGCCACGTCCGTGTGCCCATCGCAGGCACCTCCATCCAGCGACCCTGCTGGGTCACAGTCACACGCTGCCAAGAGACAGGATCATCAGTAGTTCTGGCTGCTGGTACCAGGAACTGTGAGGCTGGGGCAGGTGGCACCAGGAGCCATAGGGCTGGTCCCAGGACACTCACGGGCACAGGCAGTGGGGGACCGGATGTCGGAGCGAGGGTGCCGGTAGTAGAAGGGCTTGCAGAGGTGGCAGTGGCGGCCCATGGTGTTGTGCTGGCAGTCATCACACACACCCCCACTGGTGTTCCCCGTGGCCAGGAACACGGCCATGTCAAAGTGGCACCGCCGTGAGTGCTCGTTGCAGTCACAGCCTGCAGGGACAGCACCGTGGCATGGCACATGGCACCACAGCCCACACCTGGTAGGCAGCACCCCAAGTGCCAAACCTCCCCTGTCTGGATCCCCCTTACTCTGATATGCAGCACCACAACTGCAATGCTCCCCAAAGTACAGCCCTGGCACCCCAAAACCCCTGGCACAGCACAGCCTGGCAACCCTGGCACTCACGGCGACAGGCGTTGGTGCTGGAGCCCTCGGCCGGGCGCCAGGGCAGGTCATGGTAGAAATCCTCACAGCGCTCGCAGTTCAGCCCCTGCGTGTGGTGCTCGCAGACACAGCGCCCGTGGATCTGGGGGGAGCACCCAGCTCAGTGTGGCTGCCAGGCCTCATGGGGCAGTGCTGGGGGGTTTGTGCCTCACCATGCCAGGGACAGAGGGTGTTGGGGCACCCGGTGCTGGGGCACAGTGGGCAGCGTGGCCGTGGCAGAAGCAGCTCCCGCGCAGCACCAGTTCATCCACAGCGTAGTAGTACTTGTGCAGCACCTCCCGCCGTGAGTCCAGCAGGTTGTCCCCCAGCGTGTGCAGTTTGGTGAGGTTCACCCGCAGGTTGGTGACACGCAGCAGGTCTGGGGGCATGTCACTGTTAGCACCTGCCCTGACACCAGCCCTGCATCCCCCACACCCCCGGCAACATACTCTGGATGTCTGGGCTGTAGGGATCTGCTACGGGAATGGAGGGGTCCAGCACCTTGAAGATGACCTGTAAGAAGGAAGGAATGGGTGATCCCATTCCACTCAGACCCCTGGCCCTGCTCTGCACCACCCTATTCCTACGCACCTCCCCATGGCTGGATGGCTCAATCTCAGAGTAGCGCTGGTCACACAGCACCTCATCCACAAGCCCCAGGGAGTGGCTGGGGATTCCAGGGAAGAGCTTGGAGCAGTTGTAGGCAAAGTAGCGATACACCTTCCAGGTGCGCCCAAAGTCAGCTGAGCGCTCCACCAGCATGGCCGCAGGACGGAAGGTCTGCAGGAGACCCAGATGGGATGGGGACCAGACCCACAGCCCCTCCAGATCCATCCCATCCCATCCCATCCCATCCCATCCCATCCCATCCCATCCCATCCCATCCCATCCCATCCCATCCCAGGCATCCATGTGTCAGGACCCACTTTAAACTTCATAATAAGGTGGGTAAAGTGGAACTCGCCCTCCAGGTCCAGGCGGATGCTGACATGCTCCACACCTGGGAGACAAAGAGAGACAGAGATGGCTGAGGCTGGGGAAGACCCCCATGGCCATGCAGCCCCACAGCACATGCATATGGGGCAACCTCACTGCCACCCTGACCTCACCGTTCTCCGACTGCCACCAGGTCCGTTTGTCATGGGGGCTGCTCAGGTAAATGACATTCTCGATGCGGTGGCTCTCAGGCAGGGATGGGTCACGTGAGTCACAGGTGAAACACTTCTCCGAGTCCTGTGCCAAGGAGTGGCACCATCAGGGATGGGTGACTGGAAGCTGCACCAGTGCCTGGCTGTGTGGGTCTGTGCTGGAGCTGTTCTGGGGCTGGGTGGGCTCACCTGGAGGTGGCTGACGATGCAGTACTCCTGGGGGCCATCCAGCCCACAGGTGGAGGTGGCACTCAAGCGGGAGGCTCGCCCCACCAGCAGGTTCCCAGTGGCTGGGTAGCAGCTGCCACGGGCGCAGCCGTGGCTCAGGTCAGGCTCCTGCCAGCCCCCAGCCACCAGTCCCCCGACTGCAGAGAGCATGAGGGCACAGGCTGGGGGCTGCACTGGGGTGCCTGGGCACCCCCTGCTCCCCCATGCACCCACCCCACCCCCAGCTGTCCCATCCCATCCCATCCCTGCATCCCGACCCACTGATGCAGCATGAAGCTCCATGATCCGGAAAGGTGCTGGCAGCAGCACCGCAGCCTCGTGACCAGGGGCAGGGAGCAGGGTGACTGGGGGGCTGGGCTGCCCGTGCTCCTGGGGGCCCGGGCAGCCCCAGGGTGCTGAGAAGTGCCTCGGGGAGTCAGAAGCCAGGTCAGGCGCTTGCTAATCCCGACAGGGCTTAGTGCAGCCTGGATTCCCCGCTGGATTTTGCGGCAGTCAGGCTGTGGGCGCTGCCAGGCAGGGAGCATGGCCACTGCCACCACCTCTGCTGCCCAGCACCCTCCACCCTGACTGGGGTCCCTGAACCACCACAGCTCCCAGCAGTGTGGGTATGCAGGGTGCCACCAAGGCCAATGCTTACCCAGGAGGAAAGCAAGCGCCAAGAGGTCCATGGGCAACCACGGGATCTGCCTGGTGGAACAGGGAGATGGCACTGCGATAGGGCGCAGGGTATGGCATGGGGTGCAAATCAGCTGATGCCTGTCCTCTCCTGGCTCTAGCAGGACTGTGCAGTCCAGGATGCACCCCCCCACACCGGCATGATGGTGCTTTCCAGGGACAACACGAGGAATCAGGGTCATTTGGGGCAGCTGGGTCTGAAAGTTCTCCGGAATGACATGCGGTGTCCACCTGAGCAGCTCTGCGGGACTGTCACACACACATCCAGGCACACAGCCATGCTATGCCCCACCAGAGCTGGCACGAACTGTGCCATGCCCCACCCTGCCTGGCTCAGAATGGATCTATCCTTTTGAGAGTCACTAGTGTCCCTGGGGGGTACCAGCATCGGGCCAGGGCCAGCTTGGGAGGGGAGCCAGGAACGCTGGAGCCGGCTGGGCAAGGGCGTCCCTGACTCTGGCCAGGGTCCCGCTGTTAAATTTAGGTTGGAGCTGTCTTTTGTGTTTCCTTCTCTCCCGGTAATTCCCGCTCCCAGCCTCACAAGTGCTGGATCAAAGCCGGGTCTCGGCTCTGCCCAAACACATCTCTCCTGTCCCCCGCACGGAGCCAGCCCAGGGCAAGGGGGCTCGGGGCGATGGGGGGAGCCGCGGCTCCGTTCTGGCACCCGCCCCGCTCGAAGCCATGCCAGGGCGATAGGCAAGGTGGTGCAGAGCCACGTGCTGGCACGAGGGTCCCCGAGCCCCCGAACCCCCTGTACCTGGCGTCCTGCGGCGTCCGGCGGGACCAAGGCCAGGGTCGAGGGCGGCGTGGGACCCGCTGCCCCCGGGCTGGGAGCGCAGAAATGAGCCGGGGCAAGGGCAGCGATGGGATGGCGGCTGGTGGCCCCCCTTCCCTGTGCACGATTCTTATTCAAATGGGCTGCCCGCTGAAAGGGACGGCGGTCTCCAGGCTACGGGAATGTCACTGCCGATTCCTTCTGCCTGGAGGCCCCCGCCGCCCGCCCGCCCGCGGAGGCCAGGCCGGCCAGGCGTCGGCAGCCCGGGCACGCCCCGGCCCCCAGGCGGCACGGTGGGCCCCGCCGGCGAACAAAAGGGCGCCTCGTGGGCTGGCGAGCCGGAGGCACCGCGTTCCCTGGGCTCCCTGCACGGCGCGGCAGGAACGTGCCGGCCGCCGCGGGCAGTGAGGCGTGGGGGCAGCATGGTGGGATGGGTGGCTGCCTGATGCTCCAGGAACCGGCGGGTGCAGCCACACAGGGGTCACTGCGTCATCCTTCGCCTCAGGTGGGGATGGCCCATAGCGAAGGCACCTGCACGGCTACGCTGTAGGGTGGAGCCGTGCAGGGCATCTGCTCTACCAGGAACTCACCCGGGCACGGCGGCGATGCTGCCGGATGGGAACGTCCCCTCCCTCCCAAGGTACCTGTCCCTCCCCACTGCTACAGCTCCCTGGGCAAAGTCCGGCGCACGTCAGCCACAGGAACCGCATGGCAAGGGTGGGGGTACCCAACCTGTCACTGCCAAGGGACCCCACAGCTCCTTCCTTGAGTGCTGCCTCACGCCAGTTGCCAGCACCCAGCCCGTGCCATGGGCTGTGCCGAGTGCCAAGGGCTGTGCCGTGCCCCAGAGCTGTGCCGTGCCCAGGATCTCCCCTACGGCGCACCGGCTCCTACCTGTGCCCGTGGGAGCCTGGGGCGCTGGGCAGGTGGCTGGTGGCCCGGGTGGGCTGCGGAGTCGGAGGCCCGCTGGGCTCGGGCTGGGCTCAGCTGCTGTTCCTGGAGGAGGGCGGCCGGTGCCTGTCTCCTCCTCCGGCAGCCGTGCCAGGCGAGGGGAGGGACCTGCCCGCACCGAGCTTTAGCCAAGGTGAGGCAGAGGAAGGTACACGCTGGCGGTGGCCCACGTGTGACACAGCAGTGTCCTGTGCCTAGGCTGGCCGGGAGAGCATTCCTGCAGGGCTGCTGTGCCCGGTTGTGCAGCACGTGGGGCTGCTGAGACAGGCAGCCTGGCTGGGACTCGCCCTGCACTGCACGGGCCCGTCTGTGCCTCTGCAGGGCGCGTCTCTAGCAGCGGTACCGCAAGCCCTGCACTGCACTGCCCCGGTACCCATGCCAAATGGATCCTGCTCACGCCCAGTGCTGGCACTGCCATGCCCCACTCACCCTGTGCTGGTCGGTGCTGTCTGGGATCCGCTGGACTGGGTGCTGAGCCGGCAGCCCTGGAGCCCTGCAGGGAGCACGGCTGTGCACCAGGGCCGGGTGCCACAGAGCCCTCACTGTCACGCAGGGATAGTGCCTTTTATTAGCCAAGGCCGAGGGCAAAGGAAGGAAAAGGAGCCGTGTGCTCTCCACGCCAAGGCCACGCTCTGGCCACCTGCCGCCAAGCAAGGTCATGGGCAGACAAAGAAGCAGCTCTCAGCCATAGGGATGGCAAAACCCATGCCCCCAGGGACACCCTGAGACAGCCAGGCACCTCAGCAGGACAAGAGATGCTGTGCACAGTGCACTACCAGCTCCCTATAGCCATGCACGGCACTTGGAAGGCTGGAGGAAGGTCCAGCAGGGCAGGCTGGTGGTCAGGCACCACCACCACCTTGTGAGCTGGGAGACTGGCAGGAGATGAGCTGACAAAGAGCTATTAGAGCTGGCCAGCATGTCTATGTCACGGGCTGCTCTGAGGAGATCCAAAGAGGCCTGATAAAGGCAACTGTAACAGGATCTCTGGCCTTGAAAAGCGAAGTAAAAGTGGGAGGGAAGGATTCTCAGCGGGATGTGAGGGATGAGAGAGGCATCTCAGTCCATATCCAGGCACCTCCTTGAAGGCTGCTCTGACTTCCCATGGCAAGCTGCAATCCCTTCCTCTGCCCCAGAGCCGAACGCGTGGGGGTGGCCCGGGTCTGCCCGGGGACATGGCCTGTCCGGGGGCAGCTCCACTGGCGGAGATCTGCCAGCAGCTCTGCCCTCCATCACCGGCGTCTCAACGCTGCCGAGCATCCCCCACTTCCTCTGGTACCCACAGCCTCGCTGCCCCAGCACCTTTCAGCAGTGATCAGGGCACACTTGCAGCAGCACAGAGACCCCCCCCCGCCCCCCCATCCTCGGCAGAGGCCCTGGGCTCCAGGGGCAGCCTCTCACGCCTGGCCAGCCCTGCTTGGACCGACTTCCGTGCACGCAGCAGGCAGCCAGCACTTTCCCGAACATCCTTAATGAGCAGAGAATTACTTAACCACTTCCCTTCTTGAGGAATGAGCTCCAGCACGGCACCGGAGCTGCTGTCTGCCCAGGGCCACGGTCCCACCAGCATTAGTGCTGGGTCAGTGCACTGACAGCCCTGCAGCACAAACTGGATCCAGATCGCAAACCGTGGAACAATGGTGCTTCTGTTGAATTAGCCGGGCAGAGGGTCCTGGCTGCGGAGTGGGCAGATCCAGAGAGAAGGCAGAGGGTGGGCAGGCAGGCTGGGGCTGGCAGAGAACCTGCCAGCACAGTGCCACCCTGCATGTTTCTAGGAACTAACCAGGAATGTGGATTTATCCCAGTTCGGCACCAGTGACATACATCCGGGGTATTTCCCACCCCAAACCAGGCAATCCTTAATGGAGTTTGAGTAACGCCAAACTTCCCTGGGAGATCTGGGGAGAAGAGCTGGGGGTGTGGTCTGCAGCTGAGCGTGCCCCATGCAGCAGCTGGGCACACCGGAGACACCATTCCATGGAGCTGACACAGGGCTGGGAGCAGGAGCCCAGGGAGGAGCTGTCTGTCATAGCCCAAAGAAACGCTGGACACATTGGGTGGTTCTGAGCACCATTTTACTGAAGGGTTGGACACCTGCTAGGACTTCATAACAAAAAGTTCACTTCATTTAAGAAAAAAGACAGTTTGTTTTTTGTCCCATTCCCTTCCAAAGAGTGAAATAATACTAACGCTGTCTTTTCACTAAGCAATGCCATTCCAAAATATACAACATTGAGTGTGGAACAGCCCAGCTTCATATTAACATTAAATATTATTAGAACTTCAGAAACATTCTACACAAACAAATGAAACAGTAAAAAGTTCACTCAAGAACAAGATGGTCATTTGTAAAATCATGATACAAAGTTTGTTACTCGCCCTCCTGCGGGTTGCAGTTGCTGCTCCCCGGCCATTGCTCGGGATGCCCCAACACCAAGGAATGCCACAGCAGAGCC